GATCATAAGCCTTCGAAAGATCTAACTTGTACGCGCAATAGTTCTGACTTTGATGAGCAGATTGGATATGATGTATACACTCGAAGGCAATTATTGTATTATCAGTGATAAGTCTCCCAGGTATGAAAGCACTTTGGTTCTCCGAAATAAGGTCCGCCAGTAAAGGACGCAGTCGGTCTGCCAAACATTTGGAAACAATCTTATATATGACATTACAAAGACTAATAGGTCTAAAATCCTTCAGGTCAGCCGGAGAATTTACCTTAGGGATAAGAACTATAGCTGTGTCATTAATTCCTGCGGGCATCTTCCCGGTTACAAAAAGTTCCAGTACAGTTGTTGTAATTTCCTCCTTCAATACGTTCAGTTACGCTGAAAAAACCTTGCCGGGAAGCCATCCGGTCCCGGCGCCTTAATTGGACCAATTTGGAACAACGCATCCGCCACTTCCTTCTCTGTAAAGGGCGCATCAAGCAAATCATTCATCTGTTGTGTAACTTTTGTATCAATGCACCCTAATAGAGCCTCACATGACAAAGTAGGATCCCTGGTGTACAACTCCTGAAAATAAGAGCTGGCCATGCGCTCCATATCACTAGGAACAGAACTCCAAGTACCATCACTTTTACGCAGGCGCCGGATATAATTCTTTCTAGCTCGCCATACTGCCTTCCTATGGAAATAATGTGTGTTCATGTCCCCCTCCTTTAACCAAGCAATGCGCGAGCGTTGATGCCACAACATCTCCTCGCAATACAAAAGTTTGTCCAGAACAAACATCTTTTCTTTGATCACCGCTTTCTCTGCATTATTTAATTGCAAATCCTCTAGTTCTGTTCGCAAGCGTTCAATCTGTTTAGATACATGACCAAAGTGCTCTCGACTCCATTCCTTCAATTCTGTCTTAACTATTTTGAGATTGGCAGCAACCTCTCCTAAGTTGCTAGCTTTCTTTTTAGACCAAGCATTAGCTATTACTCCGGGAAGAGCAGAATGCCTTTCCCACATAATTTCGTATCGTGCACCACTTCTCTCTCGAGTGTCCGGTTCCTGCGGTTCCATCTGGATCAACAACGGTGCATGGTCCGAAACTGGCGACACAGGATGTCACACTCGAGCGGCTGGGAACAAGTCTCTCCAAGCCTCATCCGAACACCCACGGTCTAAACGTACTTGGACGTTCCTATTGCCGAACTGATTGTTATTGTATGTGAAAGGGACTCCCACAAATTCCATATGCATCAACTCGCATACTTCCAAACAATCACGAAATGCCTCCATCTAAGCCGGGCTACGATGTGTACTCGAAAGATGTTCATGCTGCCACATACATTCATTGAAGTCTCCACATACAAGCCACAGATCATTTGAAACCCCTCTCAACCTAGTAAGGTGATCCCACATGATCCTTCTATTCTCCACCCGAGGTTCTCCATAAACGAATGTAACCCGCCATTTTTTATCTATACCAAGATCAAATACTTGTACATCTATGAATCTTGCACAAGCCTCCAGAACTGTCACCTGGAGCGTCTCCTCCCAAAACAGACCAAGTCCACCACCTTTCCCAACTGAATCAACATCTCGAAAGCCACGGAGCCCAAGTCTCCATCGCAGTTTCTCCACTTTTACAACAGCCTGTCTCATCTAGCAGAGAAAGACAAGTCGGGGTGAATTAGCCCTAACAAGGGCCAGTAAGTCACGAACTGTCCGGCGGTTCCCCACGCCCCGGCAGTTCCAAACAAGGTGATTCATTGCTACCGACAGTACTCCTCCAAAGAGCCCGTCGATATGCTAAGATTGTTCTTCTCCTCAAATTGAGTTTTTGCTCTCTTGCTATCTTGGCTGCTTGGGCGCAGCACACCTTCTTGAAACAATCCCAAAACAAAACCAAATCTCTGTCCAGGCTGTCCGGATCAGCGGCACCTGCACGTACTAACCATACAACCACAAGCAGCCACTCCAGCAGGACAACACAACAACGCAAAGACTCTGATGGTCCGCGTACTGGAAAAAACACTAGACGACCTGAAGGAGCCGGCTAGGAAATCGATAAAACGTCCAGGCATGAAGCTGCGTTCATGGACGGGACGGAGAAAAGCAGCCGATTTGATGAAGCAAATTGGCTGGAGATGATTACGATCGCCCTACCGCCATGCGGCCGGAGGGGTCGGAGAAGCGGCGGCGTCAACGCGGCCGCCGAAGTGGCGGCCGGCGGCGGCCGCGCACGCAAGACCTAGATCGCCTTTTTTGTCGCCACAGCCCACATACCGGTTCGCTGATAAACCACACTTCTCCTCAACCATAATTACGTAAGCAACAAATATGAAGACTCTAAGTTTCAGCATCATTTCAACAGATTCGCTCCATAAGCATTTGGAGGCTGTCAAATATGACGATTTGGCTAGAGTTGCTCTTAAAAAACAAGACAAGGGTGGAGCCACATGAAAGAGCTGAAGATGGAGAAGCCTGGTATTTCAAAATCATACGACTACTGGACATTGTAGCAAAAAGGCTACGTGGGCTGCCCTGACGCTGTGAACCCACACAGCTTGCTCCGGCCCATCCATCGTCGGCGAGTGACCTGCCGCCCGCCGCCGCCGCCGGCACCCTCCGGCCATTGCCAATCGCCGTCCTAACCACCAATCGCATTTCCTCCCGCGCACGCGAGCGGGCGCCATGGCTGGGCATCTAAGCAAAAAACCATTTCTCATCCTCCTCCAACCCCGCCGCCTGTCCACCACCGCCGCATCTTCCTCGGCCGCCGCGGGAGAACTCGCCCCCGCGTGCGTCGTCAAGGAGATACCCCACGACGATGACCTCGCGGAGGAGTCGCGCAGCCGCCTCGTGCGCGACACCTGCAAGCTGCTCGAGCTCCGGGGCTCGTGGACCCCGAAGCTGGAGGCGCAGCTCCGGCACCTGCTCCGGGTGCTCTCCCCGCCGCAGGTCCGCGCCGTGCTCCGCGCGCAGGCGCAGACGGACGCCCGCGCCGCGTTCGAGTTCTTCCGCTGGGCCGACCGCCAGTGGCGCTACCGTCACCCACCGGAGGTGTTCGATGAAATGCTGAGCCTCCTCAGCCACACCAGGCTCCACGACCCCGCCCGGCGCGTCATGCGCCTCATGATCCGCCGCCGCATGAGGCGCGGGACACAGCAGTTCACGCACCTCATGCTCTCGTACAGCCGCGCGGGGAAGCTCCGCTCCGCCATGCGCGTGCTCCAACTCATGCAGAAGGACGGGTGCGCACCTGACATATCGATATGCAATGTGACAGTGAATGTGCTTATTTTTGCCGGGCGCATTGACAAGGCAATAGAGTTTGCTGAGCGGATGCGCCGTGTTGGGGTCGAGCCGGATGTAGTCACATACAATTGCCTTATCAAGGGGTTATGTAGTGTGTGGAGGGTTGTTGAGGCGCTAGAGATGATCGGTGTAATGCTGCAAAATGGGTGCCCACCTGATAAGATTACCTATTATACAGCCATGGGCTTCTTGTGCAAGGAGAAGAGGGTGGCAGAGGTGCGGGGTTTGCTTGGGAGGATGAGGAATGATGCGGGTTTATTTCCAGATCAGGTCACATATAACATGCTTATCCATGTGCTTGCAAAGCATGGGCATGCAGATGAGGCGTTGGAGTTCTTGAGGGAGTCAGAGGGGAAAAGGTTCCGTGTTGATGAGGTTGGATATAGTGCAGTTGTGCACTCTTTCTGCGTGAATGGGAGGATGGCTGAGGCAAAGGAGATTGTAAGTGAGATGATCTCAAAAGAATGTCACCCTGACGTTGTGACATATAGCGCAGTTGTTGATGGGTTCTGCCGGATCGGGGAAATTGATCAAGCAAGAAAGATGATGAAGCATATGTATAAGAATGGCTGCAAGCCAAACATAGTCACGCATACTGCACTGTTAAATGGTCTCTGCAAAGCTGGGAAAACTTCAGAGGCTTGGGAATTGCTAAACAACAGTGGAGAGGAATGGTGGACTCCCAGTGATATCACATACAGTGTTGTAATGCATGGGTTTAGAAGAGAAGGGAAACTAAAGGAATCATGTGATGTCGTCGCCCAGATGTTGCAAAAGGGTTTCTTTCCCACTACTGTGGAGATTAACTTACTGATCCATGCGTTATGTAAGGAAGGAAAGCCAGGGGAGGCCAAAGACTTCATGGAGCAGTGCCAAAGCAAATGTTGTACCATTAATGTTATCAACTTTACTACTGTAATTCATGGATTTTCTCGGCAGGGGGATTTGGAATCAGCACTGTCTTTGTTGGATGACTTGTATCTCAGCAACAGGCATCCAGATGTTGTAACTTATACTGTTGTTGTGAATGCTTTGGGAAAGAAAGGTCGGCTGAAAGAAGCGACAGAGCTTGTGAAGAAAATGCTTAATAGAGGAATTGTCCCTACACTTGTTACATACAGGACAGTGATACATAGGTACTGTGAGAAGGGTACAGTGGAAGAATTACTCGATCTACTGGATAAGATGTTAGCAAGACAAGAGCTTAAGAGTGTATACAATCAGGTCATCGAGAAGCTATGTGCATTAGGTAAAATAAATGAAGCTTACAGTCTCCTCAGCAAGGTACTGAGAACTGCCTCACAGAGAGACGCTCAGACATGCCACATTCTGATGGAGAGTTTTCTTAATAGAGGTCTCGCAGTTCAGTCAAACAATGTGGCGTGCCAGATGTTTCAGAGAAATTTAATTCCTGATATTAAATTGTGTCAAAAAGTTGACAATCAGCTGACCTTAGAGAAACAACAAACTTCTGGAAAGCTTATAGTTAAGTTTTTAGAAAGAGGTCTTCTGAAACAAGAAAAGTAAGCTATTGCTGTCTGACATTTTGATGTATCATGTATTTATTGGCAAGAATGTTTAAGATTTGATCTGATTGTTAGAAACAGATGCATAAATACTGGAAAGCTTACTCACTTTCTTCTACCTAAAACTGACAGATTTTAGTTTTGTGTTCAGTTGGTAACGTTTCATGCTTCATGCTCATACCCCTGCACCTGTCACCAACTTATTCACAACCAGTCAATAGACTGGTAGGTATGGAACCTGAAGGTTAGTTAGCTGCAACTACTGAACAGTACACATGTTCATGCATATATCAGCATCACAAGGGTTTGGTCCATAATGAACTAGACTGAGTGAAACACTTAAGGGGAGGAGACAATGGAGGGAGATGGGGACGCTGCGACGGCGCCGTTGCTGGACTTCATCGATGACCAGTCAGCCGCCTCGGAGGAGCTGCTGCGGCGGGAGCCGGTGCCATTCGACGTGCTGTCGCGGCTGGCATTGTGGGAGGCCGGCAACCTGTGGCGCATCTCATGGGCGTCCATCCTCATCACGCTCTTCAGCTTCACTCTCAGCCTCGTCACGCAGATGTTCGTTGGCCACCTTGGTGAGCTCGAGCTTGCCGGGGCCTCCATCACCAACATCGGCATCCAGGGCCTAGCCTATGGCATCATGGTAACTAGTTGCGCTCGTTCTTGCACTATGTAGTATAGTCCTTTGTGCTGCTCAGAAACGACGTCTTCTCACTTGTATGCGGAATGCAGCTTGGCATGTCGACTGCAGTGCAGACTGTGTGCGGCCAGGCCTACGGTGCGAGGAGGTACAGGGCGATGGGTGTTGTTTGCCAGAGAGCGCTCGTCCTCCAGTTTGTGACGGCCGTCGCCATAGCTTTCTTCTACTGGTACTCTGGCCCATTCCTGCAGCTCATTGGGCAGGCTGAGGACGTGGCTGTGGCAGGGCAGCTGTATGCTCGTGGGCTGGTGCCACAGCTGCTCGCGTTTGCACTCTTCTGCCCGATGCAGAGGTTCCTGCAGGCTCAGAACATCGTCAACCCCGTAGCGTACATGGTGCTTGCTGTGCTGGTCTTCCACATCTTCATCTCATGGCTCGCTGTGTTCGTGCTCAGCTTTGGCCTTCTCGGTGCGGCTCTGACTCTGAGCTTCTCTTGGTGGGTGCTCGTGGCGTTGACCTGGGCGTACATCATCTGGAGCCCAGCTTGTAAGGAGACGTGGACTGGGCTGTCCATGCTTGCTTTCAGAGGCCTCTGGGGATACGCCAAGCTCGCCTTCGCGTCGGCTGTTATGCTAGCGTGAGTAAATTTATCAGCCATTTCTAGTTAACTGTTTGGTAGTTCTTGCTTGTTTATGTCTTGCGTTGTTGTGTTCTTTGTCAGGTTGGAGGTCTGGTACGTGCAAGGATTTGTGCTTCTGACTGGCTTCCTCCCCAACTCAGAGATTGCTCTTGATTCACTCTCTATCTGGTACGCCACTCCATGATTCAGCCCAAGTTTAATGTCTGATCGTATCTTCATATTCACACATAAGACATAACATGCATCGCTATCTCTTTGACTTGTTTCAGCATCAACTACTGGAACTGGGACTTCCAAATCATGCTTGGTTTGAGCTATGCGGCCAGGTCAGTGCAAATGAACGAGACCTACCAGGATGTATACCCATTTTGCCCGTGCTGATCAAACATTTGCATCAATGTATTGTGCAGCATTCGCGTCAGCAACGAGCTTGGCGCTGGCCATCCAAAGGTCGCGAGGTTGTCGGTCATGGTGGTCGTCATGGCGAGCATCGCCTTCAGCATTCTCGCCACGATTGTAGTCATGGCCCTTAGGTACCCGCTGAGCACCCTCTACACAAGTAGCACGACGGTGATCGAGGCCGTCATCGCTCTGATGCCATTGCTGGCCATCAGCATCTTCTTGAATGGGATCCAGCCAATCCTCTCAGGTACACCTGAAATTTTGTCAGAGATCATACAGTACCTAGTTTGCATTGACCAAAGGAACTAAACTCCTGGAATCTCTGCAGGAGTCGCAGTCGGGAGCGGGTGGCAGGTCATAGTTGCCTATGTCAACGTCGGGGCTTACTACATCATTGGGCTGCCGATTGGATGCGTCCTAGGGTTCAAAACAAGCCTGGGAGCAGCTGTAAGCTAATTAGCTTCCCACCCTAATTTCATCTTCAGTTAGTTAACCTCTATCTTGCAACATATTTTTCCAGAGGTCTGATGATCAGTTGCATCTGTTTGTGGTAATTCAGGGGATCTGGTGGGGCTTGATCATAGGGGTCGCGGTCCAGACGGTGGCTCTGATCGTCATCACGGCCAGGACCAACTGGGATAGCGAGGTGGGCTCGCTCTCCTCCCATTCCATGCATGATTATTTCAGCTGAATCTTCTGTTTCTCCCTGTGCTCATGGCAATGACACGGCTATGTCATGTATGTGCTTAGGTTGAGAAGGCGATCCAGCGACTGCGGCGCACCGCGGCAGACGAGGGCGGCGTGCTGGTGGTCGATGATGATGACGTCTGATGACCGGTTGGGGGCTCTGTTTGACGACCATTGTTTGCAAGGAGCACTGTCCGGGAGTAGTAGCTAGGTGCCGAACTTTACCAAGTGGCTATAGTGCCTTTCGGTTTGTGCAATAAGTTGAAACTCAGATGATGGACTTGTAGTAGTTAAATGGTTAATTATCCCTGGCTGCTGGACAAGAAATGGTTAGATTTCTTTGAGCTCTTACACTTTGATGATGCCCCCAGATTATTGAGGTCGATATGGACCCTGCTGGTCAGCCTGAGGTGGTGCCATGGGCCCCGTTTGTCAGCACCAGCATGTTGTGGGCTGGTGGTTTTTTTGTCTGTACGGAATCCGCTACATTTTTCTTGAATGTTCATAGGACATGTGTCTACAATCCCTAGAAATTTCAGATCCGAAATCAAAATACATATGAAAAAACCAAAAGAAAAATCTGCATGAATGAATAGTGTTTGAAAAAGACAAGCACGAAATTACACTATTCACACCTGAATCGTGTCTTCGAATTTGATTCGGGACGCCGTCATCGTCTGATCTGGGCAACCGGACCTTGGGTATTCCAGTAGAACAGTGGATTGATTCTATCACACAATTACAACATGGTACAGCAGGTTTACGTAGTGGAGAAGCCCGGAGAGGTAGGCACGCAGGCCTGGGCTGCGGTTAAGATCCTAGAAACTAGGGCTGGACGTGCTAGATGTGCCATACTGTTACAACACAAGAGTTACATGTTAACACCCTCCTCAACTGGGACGCCATTGGGTAGGATGTTCAAGCTGGATCGAAACTCGGTAAACACCAAGGATGGTAGCCCTTTAGTGAAGACATCCGTGAACTGTGAGCTGGATGGTACGTGAAGCACACGGGCCTCACCAAGAGCGACGCGGTCGCGCACAAAATGTAGATCAATCTCAATGTGTTTTGTGCGTTGATGCTGTACCGGATTGGAGGCAAGGTATGACGCACTGACGTTGTCACAGTAGATGATAGTCGCGCGTGACGGTGGTCGCCGAAGTTCATGAAGCAACTGGCGGACCCAGCAGGACTCGGCAACGCAGTTGGCCACACCTCGATATTCAGCCTCGGCGCTGGATCGGGAGACTGTAGGCTGGCGTTTGGAGGACCAAGAGATCAAGTTCTGCCCGAGAAAGACGCAAAATCCTGAGGTAGATTTGCGTGTGTCCGGGCAACCGGCCCAGTCGGCATCGGTATAAGCAAGAAGATCCAAGGAGGAAGACCGATAGAACTGGAGACCGTTGTGAGAAGTGTCGCGAGGTAGCGTAGAATACGTTTGACTAAGAGCATGTGGGACTCCCGTGGTTCATGCATGAAGAGGCAAATTTGTTGGACGGCGTAGGAGATGTCCGGGCCGAGTGAGTGTGAGGTATTGGAGAGCACCAGCGATGCTCCTGTAGGCAGTGGGATTGGTGAGCGGTGGACTAGCACTAGCGGATAGTTTGGACGTGGTGTCGATGGGGGTGGACACGGGTTTACAGTTCAACATGTTGGCGCGTTGGAGAAGCTCAAGCGTGTACTGTTCCTGGTTCAAGAACAAGCCGGCTGCGTTGGGTGTCACATAGATGCCAAGGAAATGATGGAGATCACCCAAGTCATACATGGAGAACTCCCGTTTGAGGGAGTTGATGACGTAGTGGAGAGTGGTAGGCGTGCTAGCGGTTAAAATGATGTCGTCCACGTAGACCAATAATTAAGCAATGGAGGATCCATGAGTGAGAATGAACAAAGAGGAGTCACTTTTGGAGGCATGAAAACCAAGGGTGAGGAAAAAGGTTTGAAAGCGATGAAACCACGTGCGGGGAGCCTGCTTAAGGCCATAGAGGGACTTACGGAGGAGGCAAACGTGATCCGGATGAGAGGGATGGAGGAAGCCAGCCGGTTGGGCACAATAGACAGTCTCCTTGAGATCCCCATGAAGAAATGCGTTTTCACATCAAGTTGATGAATTGGCCAGGAGCTTGACACGACGATGCTCAAGACCACCCGGATGGTGGCCGGTTTTACCACGGGGCTGAATGTTTCCCCATAGTCCACACCCTCCTTCTGTGTGAACCCGCGAACGACCCATCGCGCCTTTTAGCGAGCCAATGTACCGTCAGTGTTGAACTTGTGGCGAAATATCCATTTGCCCGTGACCACGTTGACACCTGCAGGTTTGGGAACCAAAGACCAAGTCGAATTCTTCATTAGAGCATTAGATTTGTCACGCATTGCATGTAGCCAGTTGGGGTCTTTGAGGGCGGAGTGATAGGTGGGGGGGATGGGTGAGATGGTAGAAGACATGGCATCAGCTAGAAATAAGTGCCGGGGTTGACAGAAACTGGTTTTGGCTCGAGTTCGCATTTTATGAGAGTTAACAGGAGGTGCAACAGGGAGTGCATGAGGCGGGATTGGTAGAGCTGTGGTATTGGCTGACACGGAAAACGAGGGAGATTTGGTGGGGCTCTGGGTGGGAGAATCGGTAGTGGGCACGGGATCCGGAGTGGATGCGATGTCAGATGCGGCAGGCGAGCGATCCAAGGCGGATGGCGGGGCAGGCACGGGATCCTGAGGTGACGGGGGGTGGGAGCCGCGCGTGGGAGACCGAGGCAGGTGGGGCTGGCCATTGGATGGTGGACGCGTGGTGGTGGGGGCGGAGTGGTAGGGTGAGTGGGTTGGCGGGATTGGTGGAGACCGAATCTGGCCTGGGTGGTCGGGTGGGTGGGATCCGTCCGAGGTAGGTGGGTCGTTGGGATTGGGAAAAGGGCAGATCTGCAGTGGGAGACGACCGGGATTTTCTGTGGCAAGGGAGGGCGGCGCAGGTGGAGTTGGCTCGTATGGAAAGGTGGACTCGTAAAAAATAACGTGACAAAACACAATAACGTGGCGAGACGCGAGGTCATAGCATCGATAGCCTTTGTGTTCTAGTGGATAACCGAGAAAAACACACCGTGTAGAGCATGGAGCAAGCTTGTGGGGTGCCATGGCGTAGAGGGCAGCCAAAAACGCGTAAATGATCATAGGTCGGGTGAATGCCATGAAGGAGAAAGTATGGAGTGGAGTAGTGAACCGCACGAGATGGTTGACGATTAAGGAGGTAGGTGGCGGTGTGGAGGGCTTCAACCCAAAATGGTGGTGGCAAGCTGGCTTGGATGAGGAAGGTACGAACAATGTCGTTGGTGGCTCGGAGAAGGCGTTTGGCTTTGCCATTTTGCGGGGAGGTGTGTGGGCAGGAAAAGTGATAGACAATGCCATTTGTGGAGAAGAAGGTACAAAGAGAAGAGTTAATGAATTCGCCGCCGTTATCGCATTGGAGAGCTTTAATGATAACATTGTATTGAGTTTTGACGTAGGAGAAGAAGCGTTGGAGCGTGAGGGACGTGTCCGATTTTTTACGTAGCGGAAAGGACCACGAAAAATGGGAGAAATCATCAAGTATGATCAAGTAATATTGGTAGACAGAAAAACTCACAACGGGAGACATCCACAAGTCACAATGTATTAACTCGAAGGGTGCATACATGCGGCTAGTAGAAGTGGGAAAAGAGAGCCATGGTTGTCGCCCAAGTTGACATGCACTACATGGGGCAGATGAGGGTTTATTACAAGGGAGAAGAAATTCATGTGATAACAAACTAAGAGACTGAACACTGGGGTGGCTGAGCCTACGATGACACACATCACCGGAAGAAGCTTGAACGGAGAAAGCGGCACGCCACGTCTTGTTATTGCTGATGAAGGGGTAGAGGTCACCGGAGCTAGCGGAGATCATGATTACTTTCCTGGTGCGAAGGTCCTTCACGAGAAAACCAAATGGGTAAAACTCTATAGAGCAAGAATTATCTTTGGTAAATTGACGAACAAAGATGAGGCTAGTGGTGACATTAGTGGAGAAGAGAATGTTGCGTAAATGAAAGTTATGGGGTGATAGAGTGGTGGAGCCGATGGAATGGATGGGCATGTGAGAACCGTTGCCTACAACAATGCTTGACAAATTATGCTTTAATGAAGAAGACGAGTTGGTGAGGTTATCAGAGTTGCCAGTCACGTGGTTGGAGGCGCCACTGTCGAGGTACCATTCGTTCGGTGCAGTGCCGTAGTTGGGGAAGCCGGTGGGCGCTGTAGGCGGCGTTCAACATGGCGAGATGATCCCAAGAGGGTTGAGGTGGCTGGTACAGCGCCGGGGCGGAGTAAGGCTGGTACTGCATGGGGTAGGCCTGGGCATGCGAGCCAGGACGGGGGCCGAGGACGCCCGCGGCGTTTGGAGGAACCCAGCCAGGACGAGGCGTTGGCAAGGCCATCCCATAAGGAGCGAAGAAGCCCATGTACGGAGAGAAGGGCGGGGCAGCGCCACGGCCCTGGTCGCCGCGCCCGCGGCCACGTCCACGGCCGCGTCCGCGACCATGCTCACCACGATCACCACCATCAGGTTGACGCGAGTTGTAGCCACGCCCGTTGCCGTTGTCGCGGTCGTTGGAGCGCTCTTGGGGACGATCACCACGATCACCGGAGCGAGAGCCGGAGCCGCTGGCCCCGGAGGAACCGCCAGGGGGAGCACTGCTCCCATGGACAGCGAGGACCGTGGCGCCCGCCTCGGCGGCGCGCTGGGCGAGGTTCTCCTCGGTGAGTTTGACCCGTGAAAAGACCGTCTCGAACGGCGGCAGAGGGACGGTGTCACCCAAGACGACGCGGATGTTGTTGAGGCGTTGGTCGAGGCCGTGGAGGAACTGGGTGGTGAGGTCGACCTCGGTGACCGCATGGTCGATGTCGGCGAGACCGGCGGTGAGCAGCTTCATGCGGCGCGCGTACCCGTCAACCGAGAGATCCCCCTGTTTGAGGTTGCGGTACTGCCTGTTCAGCATCATGTACTGGGCGGCGTGATTGGAGAGGAAGTAGTCATGGATCCGCGTCCAGAGCGCATGTGTGTTGGTGGCGCCGATCACATGATCAACGAGGGTGTCCGCGAGGGTGGAATACATCCAGAGAACGACATGAGTGTC